TTATTTCCAGCCCATGATACTCCGCCGTCTTTTTCTCTCTACTCTGCCTTCCTATTTGCTCTTTATTTTCTCTCCTTCCTCTCTTCCTCTCTTTTTACTTTCATCTTTTTCCAACTCCGTACTAAATTTTGCGCATTCCTTTTGCTCACGTAGAAATTTACGATGGCGCCGTAAAAACGAATATTACTATTTTGATGCTTTGGGAATCAACAATTTTTATCGCTTAAAAATCCGTGAAAAGCACGTAAAAACGAACTTTTTTTTTTTTTTTTTTTGAATTATAGAAATCTTATAATTTTACTCGCATTCTTCTAAATCATTTTCCTCTCAGCTGTCCGATGTAACTCGTTTATTATTAGTACAATTTCTTATCCGCGCAATAAAATATTGAGTATTTTTTCGCATTCGAGAAACTTTGATGCATTTGATAGATACGTTTCTATAAAGTGTTTTATCGACTTAGATATATATATATATATATATATATATATATATATATATTATAAGCGTTAATTCGATAATTTATTAATGATAACATTAATATACCAACTTGGATTATCTAGAAACAGAATGTATCTAGTGATCAAGTTATCGTTAGCTTAAATCTACGAGGCTTTGGGCGTTATTATTATTATTATTATTATTTTTTTTAATTTTTTTTTTGTTTTTCATTACCAACGTCTGTGCGCGAACTGAAAGGACGAAGAGCTTAAAATTATATTCGCAGCTTAGGAAAGCGTTGCACGAGTATAACCACTCAGAAACTTGAAAACTATTGCCGTGGGTACTACACGTTTTCGATATAATATGCCGAAAAATTATAAAACCACAATATAATTCGTAAAGAATCACTGATATTTAAGTCTCCATTCTATCGCCTCGTACTCCTAGCATCAACTCGCTGGCAATAATATGCTCGGCAATTTATCGATTCATAACATTGATTACACTTGGAAATTGGCATTAGTATCCAATTGCACAAGCACATTAAATTCGGCCAACTCTCACCAACCATTTCTAAATGGCACTTGTCATTTGAATTCGACGCTTGTAAAATCCCTCGGTCTCGGTTATACGATGTTTATAACTGTGAGAGATACTCGCGACAACGAGAGCAGTGAGCGTAGGCTTAGAATCTCCATCCTTCTCGCCCTTATCTGTTGTTTTTCTCGTATCAGTCGACTCTCGCCTTCCCTCATTTGCATAAAGATTCTCTCTTGCCACGTTCTAAACTTGGCGCGCTAGTTCCGTGCTGATGCTGCACAAGATTGTGTCCGTGTGCAGGCGATCGAAGGTTCGAAGAGAGAGGATTCTGTAATAGGCAGGCGATTAGAGTGATGAGCAAAAGTGCCGTTGATAAGATGTTAAGCGTCGGAATGCTCTCTTTTGCTGGCGACGCATAGGCCTTTTATGTCTTTTCATTTTTGACGGAAAATCCGCGGCGAGGAATTTAATGAAAAAACACAACTTTTATTGTGAGTTACAAGCTCGCTCATTATATGATAATGTGGAACGATGATTTACAAATTTATGGAAGATTATTAGCATGGACATGGCACCCGATTGTTCTCTACTACACTTGACAAATCCAAATATATTAATATTCGATTCATTCATCCGAGTTGCTTTGCTAAATATTGCTGATTAAAACGTAATTAAGAACGGGCTTATTAATAAATTTATGTGTATTTCCATGCCGATATTACTGTGAATTTACTAGAATTTTTTTATAATAATATGTCGCTCTATTGATACGATTTAATGCACTAAATAATGCCTCGATTTGTGTTTAATTCAAATGAACAGAAAGTTCGCCTTTAAATATTGAAATCGATTATAATGTCTTTACAATTATAATATTCGCTAGAAAAATATTATTTTGTAAAAATTTTATAAAATCCGTCTCAGCCACCGATGCTAATTAAAAAAAAATTGTTTTTTCTTTCTTTTATTTAATTTTAATTATTATTTACTAAAATTATTCTTATTTATATTGAACGATGCAGTTAGTAGTAATAATATTGAATATATTAAAAGTCAGTAAAAATATACCGTAGATTTTATAGTAGAAATTATTTTCTGAAAGTATATAGCGTAATGATTTAACTTAACTAGCTTATTTGGTCCAATGAAAGAGAAAAAAAATTAGTCAAAATCATAGTTATCGGGGATATTTTTCTATATAATTTATCTATAAGTAGGACAGTTTTTTTTTCGAAAAAGAATAACAGTTTGATAATATGAGAAACATATTGCATAATTTTGAAATAAATTTTCATGAATAATAAATGAATAGATACACTTTGATTTATTTTATTTAAAAATCTAATTAAAAATCATAAATAATTAGGTTAACATATTAAGTTTTATTTTTTACATGTTCTTGCAAAAAAATTTATTTAACAATATTTAATATTTTTTTTACTTTACGATTAATGATTATTGAAATACATTGTTTTATGTTTAAATTAGAAAAGTTAAACTTATCTTTTTACTTTTTACTTTTTAAATATAGGAAAATGTTAAAGCTTATAATACATTTTATCACATTTTGATATCATAAAATTTTAATCATTTTCCTTTATGAACCCTAAATGGTTCCATAAATTACATCATAAAACCTGTAATTAATACATAAAATTAGATTAATATGTTCAAAACGTGATAGCGTTATGATGAAATAAAAAATTTTCTTAAATTACAGATGAATGCGAAAACAATTCTATAAATATTACACATAAAATTATAATATATTTATTAAGCCTGTAATGAATAATTATTTAATTTTAATTGCCAAATTTTGTAATGTAATTTAATATGCATATATCGTGTACATTTTATTAAATTTATCATTACATTATTTTAAATCGTTATAATTACATATTTTTTACAAACATTGTTTGTATCTAATCTAATAATAAATAATGTCACGCATTACACATTTATTCTAACAATTTTTAATTTTTAAAAAATCTAAAGAAAATATATGATTATTATTTGAAGATTTATGTTGTACGTAGCAACTGGTTGCGGAACCAAAGATCTCCCGTTCGTACATATCAAAATTATAACTCAAATATCATGATGTAATAAATAAATATAAGTATATTTTATAAGTCTATTGAACTGCGAATATATGTACGCAGTTACTACGATTGGATATGAATAATATTAGATCGAACGGTGCATTAACTCCGAAAATGTGCATACCTTTCGAATTGAATTAAATACATACATGTGTAAACTATTTATGCAATTACATTGAAAATTAAATTGAAATACGCTTATTTATTCAATGAAAATACCTCGCGGTTACGTGCTTTACTAACCGAATACGAATCCTGATTACGATAAGATATTTAAGGTATCAAGACTCGTTCAACCAACAGAAATATTCTCTCGATACCTAGAACTTTTATACTGCCTATAAAAAAAAATTTTTAAAAATAAATGAATAAATAATAATAATGATAATAATAATAATAATAATAATAATAACGACAAAAATTAAATGAATCGGCTTGTGATAACTGATAAAGTGGTCATATTTGCGGTGACAGCGAGAAGACAGAACCCACTTTGTAGATACATGCACCCTTTTTGTCGTCACGTCAGCTTAACAGGCGTGTAATTGTTTTGCGCTCGGCTTACTCGCCGAGCAGGATTCCGCATTCTTGTTGAACAGGACTACCATGCCAAGTATAGATAGCGCATTACTAGTTGGTATATACACTGATGAAGGTGTAAAGAAATTTCTTACGAGCCCTCAGCGAGAGTAAAGACTTGTGCGAGCGGCTATGGTAGCGCCGATGGCGCATCTCGATAATATCGAGGGCGGCAAAGTACGCGCCCATCAAAATCATTTTACAGCCGACGACGTCATTCTTTTTTTTTTCTTTTTTTTTCTGGCAATTCTTTTATCGCGAAATACGAGAGATACACGGATTTAAATCTTAGATGTGAAATTGTACTTCAGCTAGTCGCGCGATACAACTTTAACTGTTCCTTAGTCTTCGCTTTTCACGGTTCTCCCTCGTACGTTTTCACATTATTTTATAGATTTTCATACCAGTTGAGATAAAAATGAGAAAATTAAAAGAAACGATCCTTTCCTTGTTTTGTACAACGAAACGAATACTTCATCAATAGTAGGTTGAATTTTATTATTTATTAAATTTGATATATTTGATAAATTTATTAATAGGAGAGAGGAAAATTTATTATTATTAGAGGCATTAACACACACACACACACACTCGCACACACACACGCGCACACACACACACACACACGCGCACACACACACGCGCACACACACGCGCACACGCACGCACACGCACACACACACGCACACACACACATATATATATATTGTGTATATTATAATTTTGAAGGACCTTTTTTATGAAAGAAAATGAAGAATTTTATATACGTTTCGTTTGAGATTTATTCTAATACTTTTTTTTGTATTATTCGTTTAGATGGTGTAATGTTTTTGACATGGAATGTCACATACTTTTCAGAAATTTTTCACTCATTAAAATATTATAAAGTGTCATGTAACGTAAGATAAAAGATTATTTCTTGCTATTGATGTTATTGAAAAATAATTCTTAAGCTAATATGAGTCATATCATAAACTATGTTAATCTTATAATCTGAATATCATGAGGCGGAATTGAATGCGCGTTTATAGTAGTTATGAATATCATCACGATATTTTTTTATTAATCCTCAACACATTTAATAAGGTCAAAACAAAAAATTACTAACAATTCCGAGTCGTAATTTCATTCATTTATTTAATTTTATAACACCTACAAGAATACCTAATACAGAAAAAACGACGACAGTTTAATTATATAAGACTTGAATTAGAAGCGTTGCAGAAACTTATGTTAATACTTATAAAGAACAAATATTATATTATTATTATAGTATTGCGAAATTAGTCGCTCATTTAATGTATCCGCAGTATGGAAATTTTTTTTCAAAACAATGTTCGAACAGCTCAACCGTTATATGCAATTAACCATTGGTTGATCAGAAAGAAATTAGACTTAAATTGCTGCACAGCGTTTAAGTGATCTATACTTATACTTATATGAGATGCTGTAAGCTCAATAGGTAATATTCTTTGGAAATTAGTTGCCTTTTGTAATTTATATTTTGTCAAGTATGATATACTTCGGTTGCTGTGAGATGGGCGGTCACGAAGTTTTATGCAAGTTCTTTTGATTGGTTGTAAGCATGTAGGTGGAGCACTTTTTGATTGATTGTTCGGACAAACTGGAAAAAATGTAGAGTATTATATGAAATAGCGGTTCGACATTCGAGTAACTTGATAATGAAATATTAATTGAAAAAATAAAGATTTTGGTTAATTTTGACACGCATACGTTTATCCTATGTATTGGCTAATGTCTAATTAATAGTAATTCATTAGAGCTTGTGAAACTTATAAAAAAGGCTGAATTTTTTAGAAAAATTCCACTCAATGAAACTTATTCATTTAGTTAGAAATAAAATAGATATGATATTATTAAAGAATGTTTATGTAATTATTAAAATTAAGATCGTCATATAAAGGTTTATTGATTAAATTTAGTAGTATTATACCTGTAAATAAATCAATTAATTACACTTTTTTTATGTAAAGGTTTTAAAGCATTTAAAACATTTTCCTACCCAACAAAATCGATATTCTAATCTTTATTACAGTAGTAAATTGATCTCGGACATTAGTGCTCACATTGTTATAAACATTACAACATATTAGCATCATTCGATGAAACAAAATATAAGACGGGGAAAAAAAAATGTTAAAATCACTAAACACAATATTTACGATCCAATAGATTTCTCCGCAACACGACATAAAGCTTATATAATAATAAACTAAATAGCTTGTTAACACTAATTAGTCATAAATTATCAATACCTAGGCAGCGACGAATTATCGGATATATCGCGTCAGGGATCCCCATCAACCTCAACGCGCATCACTCAACAATACGACGAACACATACAATCTCAAAGTTATTTATTCTACATGAGCAAATGCACTTGTTCGATCTTTTCCATAATTTGATTCTACATTTAAGATTTAATTTCCAGATTTTTTAATCTTATTAATTTCGACATAATTTCACGACTCGTAAATTTTTAACTTATTTGAGAGAAATATAGCAATGACTTAAATCCATGCAAATCTTTAATAAAGTTAAAGCTTAAGATAAGAAATCATTTATTTTATATTGATAAGCGTTATTCCATAATAAATGTCATGATGGTAAATACAAAATTTCACATAAATTAACAGATTTTGAACCCTAACAATGTAAAATTTTATTATTTTAGTCATTGGTGTAGTCATAAGAGTCAACGTACATTGTATAGGGTAATTAGACATAAACATCAATTTTCAATTCAATTTGTGTAATTTTTTGGGTATTAAAAGATCGATAACAGTTAATCGAAATATAAATAATATATATTGAATTTTAACAGGTTATCTGTAATAATAAATTTAATTAAGCTTATAATTTTCATTAGAAATGGAATTTGATGGATTTTTCATTTTAGCAAATAACGTTATAATTAATTATGATTATGATTATGTTAATTTTGAGCGCTGATATAAGATTTTTCCAAAAATTAATGGTTTAAATTCAATTTATTGGAACTGGAATTCTTGTTCAGTATTTCCCATTCGACAAATTTTCCAAAATATTACACGATGAGTTAGAAAATGTTTATTAAACTTAAAGTTACTAAAACCTTATGTCGTGCGATATTTGAACAGTAAAGAACTACGGCGATTGTTTAAGCGATCAAAGGCTTAACAAAATAAAAGTTAATATTTAGAATTGAAATACCCAGCTAATTAAGGTTTTGAAAATAATTATGAGCACATATGCATGTGTGCACATGTCTGCGTGCAATTTTGTTTCTCTCTTTCTCCCCTCCCCCCTCTCTCCCTCCCTCACTCCCTCTCTCTCCCTCTCTCTCTCTCTCTCTCTCTCTATATATATATATTTTTTTTTTTTTGTTTTTTTTTTTGTTTTTTTTTTTGTTTTTTTTTTTGTTTTTTTTTTTTGTTTTTGTTTTGTTTTTGTTCTCGGCAGTAAGCGAAGTATTCGGGATTAATAAAACGAGACTTTCGGCACGCGATATATTTAGGATGAGCTTTCCTGAAGGCGCCTAATTGTCATGTGATAATGAGGGAGGATGATCTCGACGTGGTGATCCATTTTAAAGTCGCCGCGCGAAGAGAATATGCAAATGTAAATTGGGATCAGTATGAGTTAGACGAACGGATTCTCTACCTTTCGAGATTCTTACCTCTTCCTTTTTACCTTTATTTTTCTTTATTTTTCATCATGCCAAATAACGAGATTTCTGCGGGGCGATCTTGAAGAGATAAAATGAGCGTCAAACTGGAATCATGGCAAGATTGAGAAATGTTTATTTTGAACATGAACATAAATATTGGCGAATAAGTTTTGAAAAAGTCGTTTTTTTAATCGAGCCTGAAACATCCAATATTATTATCAATTTTCAACTTCTCTTCATACGTAACAGGAGATTTAAACCAATAAATTTTATATTTGCAATCACCATCAATAATAATAATAATAATAATAATAATAATAATAATAATAATAATAATAATAATAATAATAAATAATAATAATAATAATAATAATTAATAATAATAATAATAATAATTAATAATAATAATAATAATAATTAATAATAATAATAATAATAATTAATAATAATAATAATAATAATTAATAATAATAATAATAATAATTAATAATAATAATAATAATAATTAATAATAATAATAATAATAATTAATAATAATAATAATAATAATTAATAATAATAATAATAATAATTAATAATAATAATAATAATAATTAATAATAATAATAATAATAATTAATAATAATAATAATAATAATTAATAATAATAATAATAATAATTAATAATAATAATAATAATAATTAATAATAATAATAATAATAATTAATAATAATAATAATAATAATTAATAATAATAATAATAATAATTAATAATAATAATAATAATAATTAATAATAATAATAATAATAATTAATAATAATAATAATAATAATTAATAATAATAATAATAATAATTAATAATAATAATAATAATAATTAATAATAATAATAATAATAATTAATAATAATATCGACATCTGCACGGGATGAAATAATTTTAATGAAGTTGTTTTGTTAGCTCGATCTATAATTATTGTTCCTCATCTAAAATTATGGACTTATGCTCTCCTTATGCGAATACTCACTTTGATGATAATTTTAATAAAGTTACTAATTAACGGATATATTACGACCTCGTACAACTAAGTGATCAGTCACGCTATTAATTGATGAAATCGCCAATCGATGCTTTTGCTTTTTATTGGAATGCACTTAAAGCGGTAACCTAATACAAGAGGTAATCTATCTCCTAAAACTTTCTAGATAATAAAGAAATTAATTTATATATCATTATGAATAATGAACGTATGTGTGATATTTAGGGCTGATTTATTTGGTATTTCGCGAGAAAGAAATAAAAGTATAAAATTAGATAGCCGCGTTAAGCGCTAATAATATTACATATATCATGGGCGTTTTAATGAGTTTCGATAGAATTTTCATTTAAAATTTAAAATCCATATTTCATAATCTAACATTCCACTACACATCAATTCACGAATGGTACCTACTTTCATTCGAAAGCTCACCTGTTCTTAAGGCCCGCACTAACCTTATTTTTCCAGGTCCCTTCCACGAACACTCCATCTTCGAGGCCCACAAACCAATTTATAACTCGTTCATAAACAGAGCAAAAGACCGATGCATAAACTTCGCGGCGACGAGGAGCAGCAGAAGCAGCAGCATTCTCATGTTTTTTTTTTTTCTTTCGTAGTGAGCGACGCCTCGCAAAAACGACGGCCAAAAACAGTCACCAGCCCATTGCACCAGCATTGCAAAACCTTATCACCGGCCATTTTCCATTAAACCAGCGCTCGCAGTGTGTTCCGCGAGAAGAATATTGGCAATAGGCCGTCGTACGTAAGAGGAACGATCTTCAATCTATATGTAAGTGAGGTTCTTGCGGCAGAAGAAGCCGCGTTGCTGCTGCGGCATCGGCTGAACGGCTGATGCCTCGGGGCTTCGTTCACTCCCTTCACAAAGTGGAGGTCGTCATCAGATAACATCTTCTCGAGTGGAGCAGATCATCGGTAGCCACGGGAGCCGAGGCATAGATCATATTAATGGCGGGAGAAATGCCGTGCCCACGAGAAATCCAGAAGGCCGTCGAGCGGTGGGCGGGGTGTGCGCGCGATGGGCGCGCGGGGGAAGTGAACGAGGTGGCGGATGACGGGATCGTGGATTGAGGGACGGTGGGAGGGGAGAGGTTAAAGCAGAGAGTGTGTGTGTGAGAGAGAGAGAGAGAGAGAGAGAGAGAGAGAGAGAGTGGTAGCGAAATATTGGCGCTAAGGGGAGGGAGGAGAGATAATACGCGCAAGGCAAGGGGCTTCTTCGTGTTGTACGAAACAAGGAAGTTAATTAATGGTTGGGTATAATCTTTATTTTTCGTTAATTGTGCCGGGCAAATTAGGGATGATTTACCGATAAGTGATACAATTAATTTATATCTTTGAACGAGGTTGGTTGACTTCAAAGTGCTACCGGATATTTACCGGTTCTCTGGAATCTATAGTACATTTTTATAAGCTCTTAGCATCAAAATGCCAAGTTAAAAATTTCGTTTACGTGCCGGTGATCAATCCAAAAGTTCTCGAATGAACTTGGTAATTCTAGCATGTTTAACCTAATTGCTTACATACTAAGTATCGTTCGACTTTTTCACATTTTTAATTTCTCAAATGACGTTTCGCGAGTTAAAAATGACAAACATTAATAAAGAATGGATGAGATATATTTTCTACCTTGTAAAAAAATAAAACGTGTACTCGAGGAATTTCCACTTATAACTGTAGACAAGCTAAAATGTCTCGAAAGCGTTACCCAACATTCATTACCTCTTACATATAGAGTGAAATAAAAGTTTATCTGTTTGTTAAAAGCTTTTACACAAATTCAATACAATTTATTTATCGTAAATTGTTCGAAAACTTTATGTAATTTTTACATTTTCATTTAAACATTCAATTTTTACATACCTAAACTTTTTTATTTATTTTTCTTTTTTATAATGCCTCACTATCTAGACGAGTGGAT